TACAGGTTTGGAACGACATGAGGGTGAGTAATTAATGACAGAATTTTCATTTTTGGATGAACTATCCCTTTAAGACTGGTTTTGTGCTCCAGGGTCACAAATGTGTTTGAACTAGTTTGAAAAAACCTTTTGCACAAAGAACTAAACATGGTCAGTATCACAAATTTGCTGACATCCCATTAGTGACCTAGATATTAGAGACTAGTGAATCTAGTATTCTTCATTTTATGTCATAAATATATTGATTTGTCATTGAACTGCGATATGGTCTGAGACCTTTGGAGCCCAGACACTGTGACTGATTTCCATTTCTTTAAAATTTTTTGTTTTTGGAGTTCACATGTCGACATAGTCTTGTGGTGTCTGTGTACAAATATTCCACATGTGCATGCATGATAATTGCTCTTGCTGCTTGACACTGTATTGTATTTAGTCTGTAGTGTTTGTTACAGAAGCTGTCTTCTTGAGTAAACTCTTGTCACTTTGAAAAAAAAAAGCATCTGCTTAATGAACAAACATAGGGTGAATTCAGTTAATTAGGACATGTTTTCCCAGTCATCTCAATGGTAAAAAGTGTCCCATTTGACCTGAATTCAACCTAAATGTGCATCTATCGACAGTAACTTGAAAAAATGTTTCCCACTTAGTCATGGCATCAGGATATTTGGTGGAACAGTGTGTGAAGCTGGAGCAGTAATCTGGAGCCACCTCTGCTGGAGCCTGGATGTGCAGCTGAATCTCACCCTTCTCAACTACAGCTGTCTGAACTGCTGCCAGGAAGGGAAGCACAGACATGTAGTAGTTCATACCTAGAGAAAAGAAAAGACAGCATGCTTCACTTTACTTCTATCTAGTGGTGCATATATAGAGCTGCACTTGCATGCATACCAGCTCTGAGGAGAGATGCAAACCGCTTCTGAACTTTCCAATCCACAGGTGTTGCTGCTGCCAGGGCTTGGGTCAGTCAGCCCATACGTGCCATTTTTCCCGGACGCGTCCTTGCCAGGATTTGTTTTGGCTTTGTTTTCATGCTTGCTGAAGGTAATGATCGAAAAGTAGCTTGACCGATAACATGCAGGCATTGTACATAATGGACCAATCATGGTGTGTGTGAGAAGGTGGGATCTACGGTCAAAGCGATGCAATTACACGCACATAAGATGTGTGTTTGACTTAAAAGCAGCATGGCTCAGATCAATCAGTGTTTGACATCGAAGTACCTCGAGAGCATTTCGAAAGCATAAGGAACCGTCTGAATGGTAGTTTGATGTCATACACCGATCGGTCTGCACATGCAAACAAAGCCAAAACCTAGATATTTTAGGCAATATAGAAATCCTGGCCAGGACGCGTCCGGGAAAAATGGCACGTATGGTCACCCTATTTTATCAATTCATGAGTTGGTGTTGGAGTAGTGCCAAATGCTGCTGTTTGAGCTACAGGAACTTTTAGGACCTCTTGGCACTAATTTTTTTAAAGTTTAAGCGTGCCATTCAACAACGTCAACAGCTGGAGGATGGAGCCTGGACTTCAGTGTTGGTCTATCTGTCCGTTTTCAATGTTTGTGGAGTTAGCAATATATAAACTGTAAGTATATATGGGAAATGTTTCGTTAGTGACAATTTTAGGTACTTTTGAACCTTTCTAAACAGTGCTACACATATAAAAACTAAATGTTATGGAATAACGCCCAAAAAAGTGTGCTTACTTGTAGAAAAAAGGGTGTTCGGTAGTGATGCTCCTTAAAGTTACACACAGATTTTTCAGATTTTTGAACACATTTGAACACTCAAAATGAAGAGACCTATCTACTCACACCTTGCATGAGATAGGGGGACACAGGAATATTTCCTGATCATAAATGTAGGGGTGTAGTTAAAATCTGTCTCAGCTAATGGACTAAAACATACTGTTTCGGTAGTGACATGAAAATGCAGAACACTTTTTTTTTTTTTTTTTTACATAATTTACAAAGAAAATATAAAATATAGTATTTTTTTTAACTTCACTTTTTAAACGAATTAAAAAGATACTTTTAAAAGCAACAATGGAAACAAATACAAAAATTATTTCAATATCATTTTCATGAGTTGAAATTTAGGGGTTAGGGTTCGGGACAGCCACCTCCCAATCGAAAGTACCCAATAAATGATGATTTTATATATATTAAGCTTACTAATATTTTAAATATTATTGTGAGTTTCGATAGATAATAGAAGGATCTTAGTAAACATCTAAGATTTGAATACTTAAATGCTTTTTAAATGTGTTTTTCGGTTGTGGGACAGCAGTTTGGACCAGTTCTGTAGAATGACCCATATAAACGGTTGGTAACACTTTATTTCGATAGTCCACTTTAGACATTCTATTAACAGTAAGTAACTTTGCAACTACATGTCAACTAGCAGTTAGTAGAGTATTAGTAGACTGTCTGCTTAATATCTTCTAACACTTTCTTTGTCAACTTATTCTACTAACCCTAAACCTACC